TTACTATGTTACATTTTGGTTCATGCATCATTATATGCTGTGTAGAAACAAAGAATTTTTACACATTAGAGAAGGGACTGATTTCTAGTTATCTGATGTTAATGTCAAAGGACAAGCGGCAGATCGACCGCATTTATAGTGTCCCGGCGGTAAAGTATCCTGCACAGGAGTCTTAAAGGCATCTGCCCTGATTAATTTGTCCCTAATGTTCTGCGTCCTCCTAAACCCTATATACGGAGGTAAAGAGCAAGCCGAAATGTCCCCCAAGATGTGCCAATGCTTGAGGATGATTTTTTTAATATATTTTTGATATATCTGCTCTCTTTCTCTCCCTGTACCATTGTGGGGTTCTCTCATTATAACTATAAATTTTGTATTTGTTTTAAAATTGTATTAAGAACATGTATGTTTGTCTGATACCCTTTGGTTTGTCTATATCTTGATCAGTTGGCTACCTGAACGGGGATGGCACGTGACAATATGTTGAAGATATAACGGAACCTCCCAATTAATTACTAAGACTTGTTGTCCATGGGAAAGAATTTGTGTATGTAGGAGCTGTGTGAGCCATTCTGGTAAGTCCATTATGAGACTCCACTTTTAATCCTAGACTTGGAATTGTTGTCCCTTACCATAGAATAGTGGTTTTATATTTATACTTTATACTATCATGCTTTAATTCACAGAACGTATGGATACCCTTGTGGTGAATTGAATTGTGAGAAGTTCATTGAAAATTGTATGTATGGTTTAAACTTTATTGAATAAGCATACTAGTGAGATTCTCTGGAGTGTTTGTTTCCTATTACATTATGTTTATTGTTATGTTGATAGGAGTTTGATAAAGACCATTCTCGAAACGAACGCAGATACACTCGAGAAGTGTTCGTCCTGTTCCTGTGCTGTACATCTGTTGGCACCTGTTGAAAACAAGTATTAAATCACATCATGGAAATTTGATTATTCATTGTATAATTTTGTATATATCTTAGTGAACTTTTTCAGCAATTTATTCTGTATTTACTGTAATCCAAGCCCTACCAAACCTGAAATAAGCCTTTCCTTGATTTCAAATATATTGAGATTTGGACCACAATATATATTCTGTGAAAATACACTGTGTATTTGACTTAACAATAAAGCTGCTTTAGAATGCTTGTAAATTCCCCAGAAGAATTTTGATTGATTAGTTATGATGAAAAATTCCATTACTGGTAGTCAACAGAGATTCAGGGAAGACAAATGAAAGATCAACAGATGGAAAACAAAAACAGATATGCTTTTCAAGACATGAGAAAACTATAGAGACCTCCTAAACTATGGATATAGAGCATGCTTTGTATCATTATATGAATACCACCTCATTCTTGCTTCAAATGTGGAAAGGTACAAAACCTGGAGAGCAAGATTTTACATTCAGCTAAATTCTATGCTCATAAATCCTGAATTCAGGGGGTTCTATGCTAAGCAAATGGGTCTAGAATCGCAGCTTTGATACCACCAGAGATTGTGTTTACTAGAATCTCCTCAGATTATTATGCCAAACCAAAGAAAGAAGCAGATGACTGCTCCGTGTCATTCCATGTTTGCATGTGCAAGAGTTCCAGTCAATCATGGAAAGGATCATTGGAGTAAATTGTGTTCCTAGAATTCAGCAATGTGCTTGCTTACTGTATACATCTGAATAATTCCTGACCTGAATAAGGGCTTTTCACATGCTCATCTTACTTCTGCACATCTGCCCTCCTGTGCATTTTCACAGCTGTGGAATCAGTTTATTCTCTTCTACAAGTGCCTTCAATTATGAAGATTTTCAAGGGAGGGTGCTATCATCATCAATGATGTCACAGCACCCCTCCCTTAAGATGGCACTAAAATATCGCTATATTACTGGAGCGTTGTGACAACAGGCTTAGTAGGTTCTCTGAATTCCCAGCTTTCATTAAAAAATGTAAGTCTATAGCTCTTTCCCTCAGGATTATATGCCTCTTCTCTTATATCTCCTGAGGGAAAAGGCTAAAGACTCTTTTTTAAAAATAAAAGCAGGTAATTCAGAGAACCTACTAAGCCTATTGTTACAATGATCCAGTGATATATTGGTATTTTAGTGCTGTTGTAAAAAATAAATCACTTGTATTCAGGGTGGGGGAGGGAGAAGGTATGGTTGACCCAGAGAGTCCAAACATTGAACAGTGGGCTGAAGGTGGGTGGGAGTGGGCATGACAAAGAAAACCCACAGGAACACTACACACAAGAGAAAAAAAATAGACTCAAAACCGGCTTCCAGAAAAGCATTGTGGTAAAAGTGGTCTCAAAAGACATGGAAAAACATGGGCAAAAAACCCCTAAGTGAAAACTAAGAGCCACAAAAATGCATACAGAAACCAGGGGATAAACTAAAAGCATAGGGCAGAACTGGTGAAAAATCCCAAATCAGGTCAAAAAAGCCCCAAATCAGGTCACTGGGCAAACCTGCCTATGTATAACACATACACACATCATATCATAAACCTGTCCCTTATAGAATGGCCTATACATCCAGCCTGTATATACAAAAAGGCAAGTTAGCCACAAGAATTACCTTTTGTCTGGTTGTATAGTAGAGGGCTTTGGAATCTTTAATCTGGAATGGAGATGTTTTTAATGAATGAGTCTATTTACTTCAGAAAGCAATTTTTCCCAAGCGAAACTGACTAGTGACTTCTTTTTCCTTCTTTTTCTCATGTGATCACTTCAAGCTTAAGCTTTACAAGGCCCCCCGAAACATCAGACATTTTGAATGCAGGAATAAGTGTGCAGCCACTGAGTTAATCACATATATGGGTAATACTGCACACTTTCAGACCACATTTATATTTTTATTTAAGAAGGCTACACTGGTAAAATGTGGAAAAGATAAACAAAGATAGCTTATTGTGTTTTAACTTCCCCTTTCACTCTGCAAACCCATAAATCTATCATTTTTCTCTCTGAACATTGTAAGTCACTCTGAATCTCTGTATTAGAAGAAGAAGAAGAGATTGGATTTATACCCCGCTCTTCACTTGGAGTCTCAGAGCGGCTTACAAACTCTTTTCCCTTCCCCACCCCACAACAGACACCCTGTGAGGTGGGTGGGGCTGAGAGAACTCTGACACAAACTGCTCTTTTTCAAGGACAGCTGTGCCAGAGCTTGTGACTGACCCAAAGTCACATCAGCAGGTACAAGTGGAGGAGTGGGGAATCAAACCTGGCTCTACCAGATTAGAGTCCACGCACTTAACCACTAAACTACAGTTTAACCACTAAACTACAGTTTTCTGACTTCCTCACTACATGTCATAACGCACAATCTATTCTATGTAGTTGTCTTTTTATTTCTTAATATTTCTTAATGTACAAATCTCTTTGCATCCCCAATGTCCATTAATGAACTGTCCCCACAGTACTCTTCCACAGGTCTCTTTCTGTTTCATGCCCCAAGAAGCCTCAGTATCCTAACTGTTGCCTCTCTTCTCATTACCCACCCCTCAGACCTTTTTGCACTCCTGTCTATCAGTCCCTTCCCCCCCCCCGTCAGTTATTTTTCCTATGCCTCTTCTGTTTTACACCCAGTGCTGCATTAAGCATAACACATAAGAATTTCACCATCTCAGCAACTGACACTTTTTCAGAAGCAGGAAATGCTGCATGGCTAGCTAGACAAAAACTGCACCAACTCCACCTCACAACTTTGAATTCATCTCTGAATGTCTCTTGCCTTGAAAACCCTACTGGGTGGCTGGCCATAAGTCAGCTGTGATTTGACAGCACTTCTACCACCAAATAAAGAGCAGCATAGACTCACTGATGCAGGCGTTCTTCCAACCAAACCTTTACTTTTGCTTAGGCCAGTACAAGGCTTTGTTCATACAGTAGAGGTAGAGGAATGGATAGCACTGAACCACTTCAGATTCAGGTGGTGCAACTAAAGAAAAAAAAGCACAGCAGTAAGAACACTCGTCCCCTCCCTCCCCTTGCAGGGAATTTTCATTTGCAGGGAATTTTCAACATTCCAAAATATAATTCTCCAAGATCCTCAACCTACATGAAGTGGTGCGGTCCATCTCATAAATCTACACTCTCATTCTGTGGCATGTTGAACCAGGTACAGAAAGAGCTTATATAATGGTTATTTGGAAGTGAAGGTGCAAATATTCTTATGACAACCAATCTCTTAATGAATGTGGTTGTTTTCTAATGAATGCACTAAAAGGGGGCTGAATCTGTGGCAGGGTTTCAAGGCAGGGCGAAACCCCAGAAAAATATGGTATCTGCAGGTATGGTATTCTCCCCCATGAATATCTGTTGAGACGTCCCATTAAGTTATATGGAGTTTACTCTGAAGTAATTGTGCACTTTAAATCTAAGCATATTTTACTCTGATGAACATTCCCTTGACTTTAGTGCAACTTGTCCAAATATGCATGCTTAGGATCACAAAAGAGGAGCAGGATCCTATCCGTATTTACTCATAAGAAAGCCTCACCAAGTCCAAAGGAAGTTGGAACACTCCCACACAGGTGGGTATACGTTTCTACGTACAGGCAGCAGCTCCCACACAATCTGGAGCCTCTGCACTTTCTCAACTGAAGTCTTTATCAAAAGTGCTGCAGGGAGACAGACACAAAGGCCCCGTCTGGGCTTGCGCCTGCGGCAGGTCGGCGCTCAGGAAACGGGAGCGCCGCAGGTCAGGGCAGAGAGTCAGCAAGCCGCGGATCAAGCACACCGCCGGGGCGGCGCAATGGCAACTCTCCTTGCAGTGTTTGCGTTTGCGTGTGCTGTGTGCGAGAGCGTGCAGACGGCTGGCTGGGCGTGAGGGTCCGGCTGGCTGACTGCGAGGGAGCCTACCCCTGTTCCTCCTCCTCCTCTGCCCGCCTGCTTCCCCGCACAGCAGCCTGGGCCTGGGCCGGGCTTAGGCCGACAGTCCGAGGCGGTCAGGCGAAAGCCCCCAAACTTTGCAGAGTGGCGGTGGTGGCCACGCTGGAGCAATGTGGCTGCTGTGGCTGCTCTTGGGCTCGGCGGGTGAGTGGTGGAGACGGGGGAAGAGGAACGAGACGGGCTGCTCAGCGCTGGAGAAGGGGAAGGCGAGCGGGAGGACTCCTCTTGGCGGCAGGCGGAGGGGGAGAGGGAAAAGAGGGCGGACAAACGATGGGACGGACCTCTCGCGCTGTAGGAGCCGGAGGGGAGGGACCTTGAATGGTGGCGGCACCTCACGCCCCTTGCTTTGTATCTTCTCAGGCTGGGGGCAAAGAAGGGGAGTTTTGCAGAGACAGCGCATGGAGCGATGAAGCCCGGGGTGGGGGGGAGTAGTGTGGATTCGAAACGTTCTTGGGCTTCTCCAGAGAGGGGCTGTCCGACCATAAACACATGTGAGGACCGGAGGTGCATCTTGTTTTTTTTCTTTGACTGTTCCCCATATGGGTCTTAGTGGCATGAAAGGAACAATTTCTTGTGTGAGGGAGAGTGTTTCTCTTGCCTCTGAGGCGGGCTGGTCAGAGAGTCACGCCCGCTCTGAGTGGGTTTTGAGACACTGTTATTTGATTCTTAATAGTTTCTATAGACGTCGTAGTTTAGAGAGGTGGCTTTCAGTTCTTGTGCCCTCTAGCAGCCCAGGTTGGTTGCAGAACCTTCAGTCCTAGCAGGGAAGAAGAGTATCAGCTTTGGTTTGTAGTATAATGTGAAATCCTCCCTTTCTTTGAGAGTGACTATAACTTTAATTTCTGTGCTGAAGTTTCATAGACTGAAAGGCCAGGCCAGCATCAGTTAATATGACTTCTAAAGAGTTTATTTCGAATTTCACTCCTAATTGTGACAGGAGAGAACTTCCACTTAGGTGTACTTAAACATGTTTCTGATGAAAAGAAGTATATGGCGTGTGCCTGTCTTTGAGAACTTCCCAACTCAGTTATAACCCAGTGCTGGAATCAGTTGAAATCTGATTCTTGTTACAATACAAGAATCCTCTACCCAAACTATCCCCATGCAGTCCAGACCCCCAGAGTGCCAGTTTCCTTGGAAAGCATCTAGCTCCAGATGACTCAAGGAAGCAAGTGCAGTTTTTGGGAAAGACATCTTAATAGTGCTAGAGGCCCTTGATACCTAAAGATATGGAGAAACTATGTGTTGTTGGAATCTGGCTATAATCCAGGACTGAATGCCATAGGCGCAAATTTTAGTAGGTAAAGGTAAAGGTTCCCTTGCTCGTAAGCCAGTCGAATCCGACTCTAGGGTTGCGGTGCTCATCTCCGTTTCAAAGCCAAAGAGCCAGCACTGTCCGAAGATGTTTCCGTGGTCATGTGGCCGGCATGACTAAACACCAAGGGGCACAGGAACATTGTTACATTCCCACCGAAGTGGTACCTATTTATCTACTTGCAATTTCTTGCTTTCGAACTGCTAGGTTGGCAGGAGCTGGAACTAGAGATGGGAGCTCACTCCATCATGCGGCACCCGGGTCTCAAACTGCTGAACTACTGACCTTCCACAGTCTGCAGTTCAGCGTCTTAACCACTTGCTCCAGGCAAAGGGACAGTGAACAAATTGCAAGAAAAATTATCATAGTTCATTTTATTTAGAAAACTTTCATTTTAGAAAATACAAAAACTCAAAGAATGTTACTGAAGCAACATGGGCTTTATGATGGCCTCAAATGATGTGTAGAAAACTATTGCAGCGGCACATAACATTTGCACAGTCTCCTTTAAAAGGTAAAGGTTCCCTTGCTCGAAAGCCAGTCGAATCCGACTGGGTTGCGGTGCTCATCTCCGTTTCAAAGCCGAAGAGCCAGCACTGTCCGAAGATGTTTCCGTGGTCATGTGGCCGGCATGACTAAACACCAAGGTGCACGGAACGCTGTTACCTTCCCACTGAAGTGGTACCTATTTATCTACTTGCAATTTCTTGCTTTCGAACTGCTAGGTTGGCAGTCTCCTTTACAGGTACATTAAACAGTACTGAGCACTGGTGTTGGTGCTGGAAGTAAATCTCTTATTGGTAGATACATCTTTCCCTCTTGAGTTTTCCATTTCCATTAAAGCCGACTGATTTATCTCTTATCCATATTTGTACTTGCTAGGCCTGTAATGGTGATACTTTACTACAGTAGATGTCGGCGGAAGTTGCTGCAGGTGTACAAAGAATTTCATTGTAGTAGTACTGCAATCAAAAAACTTTGGTTGCAAAGCTAATCTACAGTTCTTTCATATGTTACACCATATAAAGCGCGCCTTTTCTTCTCTTCAGTATCATCTTATGTTACATTCTTTCAATGAATGGTGTTCACAGAAATCGTTGTTTTCACTTCTCATTAGTGCTGTATCTTTATCAAGGCCATGTAACCTGGAAGGATTGTAGCTAGGTACTGTATGAGCAAAACGAAATGTACTACATATTTCTTAACCCAGGGAAATTTCTGTGCTTTGAGTGTTTCATAACTAAGTGGTACTTTCTTCTTTGGCTTAGGAGAAAGTATAATTCATAAATGTCAAAAATAGTAAAAGTAAACAGTAGGAGAGCTGTACCTTTTGAAACAGTGACAGTATTGGAGTGCTTTGAGAATTTCACACTGGGTCATGAAAGTGTGCAGAATTGTTTTTTCTGTTACTCTTACAAGTCTGATGTTCTCTTTAACATTTTAGCTGTTTGTCTAGTGAAAATATGTTTAGTCATTTAATTTTTCCCTAATATCTAATGTCCTTGACTGAGAGACTTTGTCATAGCAGAAAGACCATAGTTGCATGGGGGGGGGGTTGGCTACATAATGTTACAGTACTTCTCATTCTTTGTTGATGGAATTCTGTGCAGGGAGCGCCTCTTAAATGTTTTAAGTTGCCTCCTCAATGACAGTTTCTTGATGATTGTTAGTCATATGCCTCAAGTCAATGGGCTTTGCCTGGCTCAGGTTTGTTTGGAATTCAGAACATCACAGAGTCTTCGAACAATGCTGCTGGATAGGTGCAAAGCTCGTATTGGAAAATTCAGAATCCGATATCCAAGCTAGAATTTAAATCTTTGGAACTAAGTAAACTGATGCAACTGTATGTGTTTGTTCCTTGTATTTGTTCAGTTGTCATTTTGTATAGTGGTTATATGACACTTACCTTTACAGATCAGTCTCTTGTGGTGTCTCATATTTCCCCCCAATTTCGTTTGCTATATCAGTGTTAACTACAGCAGATGCTATCATACCTTTGACAATATTCCTTAATTTAGAATTTCCTCCAAAAGGAGATCCATTATTATAGATCACGCTGTTTCTGAGTTGTTTGCTGCTGTAACATAAGTGTTTTATATTCCCTATTCAAGTTAATTAATTTCAGAACATTCTGGACATGTTGGCACCCATAACGAGTGCTGCATTTCTATCATGCCACTCCCACATGCTAGTCTCTCTGTTGTCTTTAAATGTGTCATCAGTTCTTGATCAAAGCACAGCTCAGCTGTGTGCTTGTCTGATAGTTGTGTATATGATAATTTGTAGGTATCATGATGTGTTTATGCACTGTTGTTCATGTTTGAAGCTATAATCCATATAACACTATTGTTGTTGTGTCCTTAGGCAGCAAAAAGAAACATTGGTGAGACTGTCTTAAAGTACAGATTCCATAGCTCCATTCATTCATGTCTAACTTGGCCCTATATTAAACTCGGGAATTTGTGATTCTAACCTTCACTACGTTTGCTTTTCTAGTACAAAAAACTTATTCCTTTTTGTTGCTTCATTCACATCCGGCATTCAGCTCTTTCTATATTTTGAATCAGATTGAAAGTTCATTTTCTATTGACCAAAGGGACAATTTTCACTGATTTCCTCCTCTGCTGCAGACCCATGCTTTGCCTTCATGCTGTTCCTGAGGATTTCCTGTTCCCCAAGATCAGCATTTCAGGTGTTTAAGTAGGGAACTCGACGCCGTCTCATAATCAAACAGTGAATCAGCTTTATTGAAGTAAACAGGAACAGTAATAGAACACACACACAACAGTGGAGCAAAAGCTCCCTTTTAAACTATCCCGGGCTGATGTAGCCACGCCCTAGAATAGTTAAGGACCAATGGCATTACAGAGATAACACCCAATCAGATTTGTTCCCTCCTGAACACTTCTCTGCCTTCTGATTGGTTACATTTATACAATAGCCAATAGGATTGTTCCAGCTTACAATCCTTTTCCAGGTCTTAAGCTTTGCATGAGATGTTATACAGATAAGACATAACATCAGGGATTTCAGTGGCTGCAGTAGGAAGGGGGGTATTGGGCAAAATCAATAGAAAATAATCTGTGAATTCAATTATTTGATATTACTTACTTAGAAACTGTGTCAATTAGTTCTTCTGAAGTCTAGTGGCTTGCATCTATTTTTAAATCATTATTATGGCTGACTTCTAAAGGTAACAGAAATTGTAAAGCAGGATAAAGAAGAGAAGAGATTGGATTTATACCCCGCCCTTCACTACCTGAAGGAGTCTCAGAGCGGTTTACAATCTCCTTCTCCTCTCCCTCCCCAGAACAGACACCCTGTGAGGTAGGTGGGGCTGAGAGAACTCTTTCAAGAACTGCTCCTGAGAGAACAGCTCTGAAAGATCCTGTAACTGACCCATGGTCACGCCAGCAGCTGCATGTGGAGGAGTGGGGAATCAAATCCAGTTCTCCCAGATTAGAGTTTGTGCTCCTAACCACTACACCATACTGGCCCTCAGAGTTTGCTTGCTGGGTAAGTGAAGAACTATTGGGAGCATGTATCTTCTTGAGACGCTTTGTTAGACTTGTATCATCTGAAATACTATGGACACTTGCCTGGAAGTAAGCCCTACTGAATAAGATGGGGCTTACTCCTGAGTAGACCATCTATAACCAATTCAGCCCCCCCCCAGATTCATCTTGGTATATGATCTTCATTGTAAATACAGTTCTTGAAAGATTCTTTTCAAGTATCTGCTGTCTTTGTGGCTTCCATGAAAGGAAGTGAGTAAACATAATGGTGCAAATTAGTGTTTCTTTCCGTTATCAGTGTTAAAGCTGATAAA